ATCTGCAGACAACAACTTTATCAATTCACTGAGCCACAGACAGCCGTGGTTCAAAACAACCTGCTATTGCCACTTCAGATGGAAAATGTTATGGTTTTTGGCTAAAGACCCGCAGTTTCGAGGCTATTGAATATGCCATTGTCGTCACTGTGACTCGAACATGTGCCACACAGAAAATGTAAGCCTTGTAGAATCATGGAAAAGCCTGGAAAAAAAACATAAGCTGCTGAAAAGGCACAGGGACTGCTGCAGCACTGAGAGGAAACTGTATAAGTGTGTGTGTGTGTGTGTGTTTACAGACAGAATGGAGAACTCGCATTAGTCAGGCTGGTGTTAACTCCTGACTCCCTCCTCCCAACTCCATACATCTTCAAGAGGAGGAGAGAAATGGACAATATGGAAGAGAGTACAGCTGAAGACTTGTGTGCCGACACCTTGAACAGTGTGAAAGCAGAGAATTAAAAGCCTCCACTATATTTTTCGGCATCAAGAATACATTCCCTTCTCCATAACCTGCTCTCTACTTCTTTGTCTCCTTTTCAAATAATCTGCACTACTCCCACTCCTTTCCTCCATTCTTTAGTTCTCCAACGCCCACTGTGGTCTCCTCCTGCAGAGCTCAGCATACCCATTTACTCACCTACCACACAGCAGCAACGCAAGACACAGGAAAAGTGAAAGAAAATCTGCACATATACATATATCTCACTGTGGATGAATCAGTTACTGTTTTGAATTCGCTTCCTAGGTCAAGTGATTTCCCTTAATTACATTTTCTTAATTAAACTCTAAATTAATCTCTTTTTCTTAATGATAACCTCAGGGACCTTCAGCTGTGGCAAAAAAGTTTTGATGGTAAAACAATGTAAACAATGATTTATACTAGATACAAAGCTATTTGCCAGGAGAAAACTGTAGGCAGTGCTTTAAGATAAAGTCTGCCAATCACTCAGAGTGGCATATGCAAACAAATGTATGGTTCACTGTGACCAAAAAGCAACCTCGGGCTAGTTATTTAAACGAGAACTATAATAAAACTCACAGCAGCAGCACCTTGTCTAGTATGATGGAGTGAAACAAAGCGTGGCTAAACACAAAATCTCAATGAAATGCAAACCAAAAGTAACTGAACAGTAACTGCAGTCAATTAACAGGCTGTTGACTCAGTGAATTTTCTGATTGATCAAGCTGAGCCAAAATCAATTATTTCTGTTCCTCCTGAGATACTGATCTGCTAACAGCAGCTGCACAGTAACTCCTGATAAGTTCTGGCTATTTGTAGAGCTGCTAAAATAGAAACAGTATGTGTAAGCCATCACGTTTAGAAGTGGATCAACATGAACTTTACAAGGTGTGGTCAAAAATTTCCTTGAGTCCAAGAACCATCACCAGTTCAATTTTAACCAACGTCCCCTTCGAGTTCTTGTGCATGAACAGCTTCCTCTGTTGCTGCAGTGTTTTTGGATTGATCCCTGTGTGCATCTGCAATTTCCAGCTTCCTTGTGGACCTCAGGCTTGTGCAGAAGGCAAACATCGCCTTATGAGCTGACCCAACTTTCATTTTGAGAATCATCATTGCCGACATGCAGACTTTACTTTTTTTTCTCCCCAAACTTTGCAGGTGTTGTAATTTCTCCCACAGGCTCAGAGTGTCGATGCAGAGTTGCTCTGCAATATCCTGAAGTGTAAAGGGAGGACGTCCGCTGGAGACGGCCAGTGCCAACATTCAGTCTTGCACTTGCTAACAATCAAATTAATTGAAAAAGCTCACGCTGTGGTAACTAACCATGTGGACAGTTTACAATTTAACCCTGCTGTGCTTCAGCTCCAGTAATATATGTTTTCCGGCCACTATGAATTATTCACAAACCTAATAAATGTTATTGGAACTTCTTGGCATTAAACAAGCAAGCATTTAAAAACTGTTAACAGCATGTTACGAGGATAATGTAGATTACAAAGATAATTCCTTCTGAAGGCCCAAGTTGCATTTTTACAAGTAACTTTTCAGATGTTTTAAAAAGATACACCAAAACCAAAATGTTGAATATTTTGCTGTATAGCTGGATATTTTAAACCCTTGGCAGATCAAAAGCAAATCTATCTGCATGGATAGAAACTATTTGCAGTACTTTATGTGAGATTTTTCTCCCCATTAAACTAAGGAAACACTTCATGCTCAGAAAGTTTTGCATTTGCAAATAATTTAAGCTTTACAGTGATTCACTTAGTTAAATCAGTAGTTTCTGAATGGATTGGTACTTATGTAGTGCTTTTCTACACAACTTGAGCACTAAAAGTGCCCTGTACTACATGTCTCATTTATACAAGCACGTTATTCTAAGCCTAAGTGTTTTTTAGCTCACACACACACACACACACACACACACACACACACACACACACACACACACACACACACACGAATGCACAAGTATTTTGCCCAAGACTGCCTCAACATTAAGATTCAAACCACTGACCTTCTGATTAATGTACAGCCTCCACTTCCTTAACCTCATGACAGCTAGCACTGACCAGTTGAGAATAAACATTTTTCCCTTACAACTGCTGGTCGTATCACGTCCAATATGGTGGGCAGCTCTCAGCGTGTGCACGATGTCACACGAGAGCTTAAGTTCGTTTATCCAATTACTGTAACCTAATGGAAATTATGAGTTTCGAGTTTTAAATACAGTCAATGAGGAGCGCTGGTACTGAATCAGACTGAGTGTTTCATTATGCCCAAAGCCTAAACATACTAGACTTGCACACAACGTCCTTTTTGCAAAATTCTGTTTTTTGCAATAACATTTGTGTGAACACAACCTTCAAAGCAAGTTTAAATAATCAGAAGCAATGCACTTGAAAACATGTAGAAATCAAAACAAGTCCTACATACACACACACACAGAAATACTCACACACTTGAAGGGATGCACAAAGGCACTAGGCACATGCAGACAATGAGCAGCGAGCAGCGTGGAGCCAACACACTATCAGATGTATTAGATGTAAGATAATTTTTCTGTGTCTGTGATGATGTTATCTTTAGATGAACACTGTTCTGTGCTGCTCCGAACATGCCCCCGTTCATTCAGCTTTTACTTGGCAGACGCAAGATTATTTCTCAAAGCAGCGACACGCCACCAGTCTTCCTCCATTCATATACCCCTTCTCTAACTCTACCTGATTTATCTTTTCTGTCTTTCCCGCGTGCTATCTACTGTAGCCCGGGTCCCTTTTCAACTTTACAATTTATACATTTGCTGTCCTTGTAATTTCCATTCTCATCCCATTTCTCTGTCTCAACACCCGTTCCTGCTCCATTTGACTTTCTCTTCCCACATCTAAATCACAAATCCTTTCTCTCACCACTTCCAGCACTCTAACTTTCCTCAGTTCCGCTGTCTTATTCACTGAGGTTTAAGAGCAGGTGTTCCAATATAGCAGCTTGATCGTTTGATTTAATGGAGGCTCTGTCAGTTAATAGTGTGGCTTTCTCTTATCTGATCCAGGAACAAAGAGAAGGTCTGCTGGGTCTGAGAAGCCCACTTTGTGACAATTGCTTATCTGATTGAAGAAACAGTGGAGAGCGACCTGCGCAGTCTTGAACGATTATGCTCTTATCTGACGGTGGCCTCCCAAAACTAGAGGACAAGTTGGCAAGTAGAGAAATTGGGTTTGTAAGGATGTTGAAATTATTTAGCAGAACTTAATTTAAACTGTGGGAAAGAGGATGTTCAGACAACAGACCAGACCTTTTTCCATTATCTTCTTTTCAGCATGCAGTGTCTCTGGATTCTCAGTCAGTCACACTTTTTTGGTCAAAAGGCAAACCTTAAGGCTCCAAAAACACAATGGGTAACACTAGTTTTTTTTCTAAAGCGCAAGCCATAAAGGTTAATAAACAAATAATTCACATTACGCATTAACCTAATTTGATATTTAGATGCCTTTTTTAAGCCATTTATTAGGCAGACAGGGCTAAGACAGTTTGAGCTCTTCACCATTACTACACACTGAAAACCTTTGGGTTTTAACCTTTTAAAACCTAAACCATGAAATAACTGCCAGAAATCTTTAATTTTTTGATATTGGAGCGTTTGTTGAATGTAGAGGAATTTCTTTCATTTATGTATTATTCATATTATTTTATTGTATAATGCTTTGGTGCCACTGGGTTTAAGCATGTCTCAATGTCACACACCTTATTCATGCCATTGAACAGCCGGGTGATTGTATCTCAGGAAGTTTGGGGGAAGCATTCACACACAAAGAACCCAGGGTGGGGGGGAAGAGCCTTTTGTCTCTTCAACCAATGCAAGACATTGCAAGGGAGTATGAACTTTCTTTGGGAGAAGACCAAAGGTGTGAAAACAGCTGTGTACAGCCTTTTGTTCCTGTAGGAAGTATTTAAACCCAGGGCCATGCCAGGAGAGACTGATCGACTGCCCCAGCGATGGCTTCTCTCACCAAGCTTGGGTTTTTGTTCTTGTTTTGATTTAAAGATGCTAGCGATCGCTCACCGTTTGTCTGCAGGCTTTATTGAATGGAAACTTCCACAACATTGAACCTTTAGACAAAATATATATGAAAATATATCAAACTTTAATCTGCATATATGAGTTTTAATTTGTATCACATTCGCTACATTAGCCATATTTTTGCAATTTAGTCATTGAAAATGTGTCATGCAAATTATATCATTTTTTGAGGGTAAAAAAAAGTCACACTGATTATGTAGAAGTCTCAAAAACACATGCATCAATTATGATATGCTTGGCTTTAAAGGGTTAACAGTTGATTAAAAAGAAGAAAAGAAATCTGGAACACCTCCTTGAGCTCCAGGAAGCCGTGAAGCACTTTTTCTTTTTACATTTTACAATTTTAAAGGATAAGTGACAACAAAAATGTCACCAGCCAATCTGCAGTTCATAAAGCCAACCCCTTTGTGTCTCCATTTGAACACAAACTCTCCAGACTATTACAGTGACACTTACTGTGCTCATGCCGTTGATCTGATCAAGAGTCAGCTGAAGCAGTTGCTCATCACAGCTTTCAGACATCAGTTTCAGTGCCGGCTGCAGGAGGCTTGGCTGATTTTGGAGCAGCAGGGTAGCTATGTGTCTAATACACTGAAAAAAAGACAGAAAGACAGATTTGGGAGGGGGTAAGATGAATTGATAAATGTGCAAATGAATGGATGAAAGGCAGAGGGTGAACGACAAAAGCGAAGGCAGAGATGAGAATAGCACAAGGCAATCAGGGGACAGAGTCAAAATGAGGAAGGGAGAAGAAAAGAGGGAAGCAGAAACAGAGAGAACAGTGAAGGTTAATCGATGTGCATATAATGTAGAGGCACCTAATACTTTTAAAAAGGTTTACACACAAACACATGCACACGCCAGACACACAGTCCCATCCAGTAATGTACGGATATCACAATGCAATCTGACTCCCCCATGGTCTGCCGGTTTCATTCCAGCGGATTCAAATTAAAGCTGCTCAGAACAGAGTAAAAGGCCTCCCCCACCTCCCACCCCCCCATCCCACACTAATATTAGACAGGCTGGCAGACACTAGCCTATTCACACTGAATAGCATTAGTGCTAAACTAATATCACAGTCAGCTGGCCCTAGACATACAGAATGGCATTTGGCTTAGCACTTGCATGGTGCTCAGCAGGGCATGAATAGCATTAGGAGCTGTTAGATATCAATGGGAGGCTAGTGCATATAGTACACTGCAGAGAGCACTGAGCTGATGCTAACACATTGCTGTGGGTTACATGCTTAATACCTTTAGCCTCCTGTATTTAGATATTGGTTAAAATGATGGCACTGCAGCGTGTTTCTACTGAGCGTGAACAAGCTAAATATAATAATGGTGACAAAAGATGAACTGATGTGTAGGAGCCATACTAATTTTAAAATAGTAAGTGATGAAAACAAAGATCATGCACCTTTCAGAGTCCCATGTCAGTGCTTATCTTCTATCACTGGAATACTTTTACATATAAATTAAACACAACAGCACATGAAGTAATGTAGGAGCATAAAGTGGAATACAAATGCCCATACAACCCAGAGCACTATGAATTGTAAATAAACAACAACAAAACAGCTTCATGAAATAATTGGCAAACACTTAAAACCCAAAATGTAAAAATATAACAAAGACAACACGTCAAATGTTAAAAATCTGAACACACAACTAAAAAAAAAATTGATTCATGTTGAATTTGATGCCAGAAATATGTTTAGAAAAACTATGGATAACAATCAATTGGAAAAGTTGTGTACTGCTTAAGTAAATAATTAGATAACTCCATTTTAAAAAGACAGGGCAGAGGCGCTCACGACTAATTAGGTTAATTAGAAACAAGTAAGTGACGCGACTGAGTATAAAAAACATCCCACACACATTCAAATCTTTGAGATTTAAAGATGTGGAGGAGTTACCTACTCTGTGAAAGAAAAAAAAAACAAATAATTTAAAAATAATTAGAATAATAATTCTTGAAAATAGCTTGATAGTGCTATTACTGAAGGTGCTGTACACATTATGATTAAAAGATTCAGAGAATCCAGAGAAATCTCTGTACCCAAAGGCTGAAAACCAATTATGAAACCGATATTTTGGGCCCCTCGGGCAGCGCTGCACTAAAAACAGATTCTGTAATGGAAATCACTGCTTGGGGTCACAAACTCTTTTTAAAACCAGTGAACACAGTTTATCAGTTTACCACAAGTGCAAAAATAAACCTGCATCCTCTGGACTGAAACAGAGAACGGCTGGTTTTGTATCTGGCAGTTCAAAAGATGGTAATGGGGTTCATTAGTGCTTATGGTATGGCTAACTTTAATATCTGTGAAGGCACCATTAAAGTCTCATCCTACTGACCCTCTGGGTCCATGCATGCCCCAGAGGGATAGTTTTTGTTAAACCTTATAGGTGGGTCCAAGTTTTTGACTTTTGCCACTCAATTTGTTCCTAATGACGCCACACCATTGTTTTCCATTTGTCCTTTGATCAGTGCTTTTTAAAAATGTTAAGGAGTGAGAGTGGGATTGACAGACAGATTGGTCTCGGCAGTGATAAGGACACTGTTGTGGTGAAGAGGGAGCAGAGCGTGAAAGCGAAGCCGTCGATTTACTGGTCGATCTACGCTCCTACCCTCACCCTATGGTTTGTCGGGAGCTCTGTGTATTGACTAAAAGAATAAAATGACAGATACAAGTGGCAGAAATGAGTTTACTGTGAAGCGTGTTCGTGCTCAGCCCTGGAGACAGGGCAAGGAGCATTGGAGGAGCTACTCCTACACATCAAAAGGAGTCAGCTGAGGTGGTTTGGGTATCTGACCAAGATGCCTCCTGGGCGCCTCCCAGGTGAGATCTTTTGAACATGTATAGAAAACTGCGGGGTAAACTCGGGACACGCTGCCTGGATCTGTGTTTACTTCAGTTATTTTCTGTGGGGTTCAAAATTGCCCTGATTGGTTTCATCATATTTGAGTATGGGTTTTCTGGTTTTCTTTGTTTCTTTTTATTTATTATTTCTGTCTGTTTTGTGCTTTTTACACAGAAACTACCACATGTAATTGATTGGTAATAACTTTGAAATTGACACATTATTACGTTCTTGTTTCTTCCTTGTTACCCTGCTATTACCACTTTATTACCAAGCTCTATTTCGACATTGTTACGCCCAGTTTTGGGGCCCTTATAATCCAATTACATACATTTCAGGGTAATATTACTCAACTGTAACCACTGTTACTACCATGATATTACTTTGATATTACCGGTACATGGTTATTACTTTGGTAATTGTATAATAATAACTTACCATGCTACAAGCTTGTTTCCCCCTTATTACACTACTATTACCCCTTTATTATTGAGCTGTAATAGAAAGTGCTACCAATAATAATTACATAACTGATATTGCTTTGCAATTATATTTGCTTCTTGCAGTAAATTATTCTTAAGGTTACAGCAATTAGTCTGTGTATGTGAAATACGTCAGTAGGAGGGTTGATGTTGCTGTACCATCTACATATACTGCCTTTCAGATGTTCTTGCTTGTTTCAGCAAGACACTCCCATACATACTTCTGCAGCTGTGAATTCAAAAAGCTGCAAGTGCTGAAATGGCCTGTCTGCAATCCAGGTCTTTCAAGCACTGACAACATTTGGCACACTTTGAAGCTGAATAAAAATAATATGACAAAAGAAGCCTGATCTGTTAAGAAGAGAACTCCCACAGCAAGCAAGAATGGGAGGAAAAAGTTCACTTTCAACACTACAATAGTATCCTCAGTTTCCAAATGCTTTTTATGTGTTATTAAAAGAAAAGATGATGCAAAGCAGTGGTAAACATGCCCTTGTTTAACTGGAGCGAAAGGTGTTGCTGGCATTAAATAAAAAATGAATTTTCTTTTGCTGTTATTTTCATTTTATGCAGAGGTACAGGTGAGTAAGAGGACTCTTATGCAGTACTTTGGTGAATGTATTTCCATATCAATTTAATTTTGCTGAAATAAATAAAGATTTACTGCTTTAACACACTTTCAAGTTTACTGCAACAAAGAAAAGGCTAGACGTTCACAAACAAAAAATACAGAGTATTATCCGATTACCTGCACGGGCAGCTTGTGTTTGCTGTTATAGAGAGATCTCACCATGGTGACAACCTGCTGACCCAGGTCTGTTTTGACCTCTGATCCCTTGCAGCGGGTCAGTAAGGCTGAGGTTAGCACCACCCAGGGGTTATGCTCTGACTCTGCCCTGCAGACAAGAGAGAAACAAAGACTTACAAATGTGTGTCTGTGTGTAGAGTTGTGTTGAGCTTCTTTGTCCTCTCTGATTGACATAAAGAGGAAATGCACTGGTAAACAGTACACAGGGAAAACAGCTGCCTTTGATGGTGTCTTTATGTCAAGAAAAGTTGGAAAAGAACAAAAGTGCAACATGTAAAATTACTCTAATGCTTTTCATCCATTCCTATGTACATACCCCCATGTGACCAAATGGTAATACTGTGAGACAGCAACTGGCAGATGATCACTGCGTATACACCAAAGTGTACAAAAATGTGCAAAAATAACAGCATCAACTTCCATTCAAATCTCAGGCTGTTAAGAAAGCAGAGAGGGTGATCAAGAAGCCTAAAGATAAACAAATTCATTCCAACACTAACATCTAAGTACATATTCTCGTGCAATTAATATTAAACACCTGCACGCTATATTTTCCCTCACCTCTGTGTTAATGCCAGTGACAGGCATCACACTATTTACACAATCTTTCATTAGCTCTTAAGACCTTTGCTAGCACCTCTAGAGCACATGCGCGCCCTCAGCCAAAGCCGGCAAACACCGGTGTAACCTTCATGGATCTTTATCAATACACGGGGGCATGGAAGACGAAAATCAAAAACCATGGAACAACTCATTATCGGTTTAAATATGCCATGACTGATGCATTGACCCTGTTGAAGTAATTAATTTTATTACTATTACCCTTAGCATGGCACAGAGTCATATTAGTGCCTCTGTAACTGCCAACAGTTATTAATTTTAGTGGCTGCGGAGGTTGTAGTCTAATGCAAAACCAAAGCCTCATTATATCTGCATCAGGCTACACGAGGGGAATCAAAGCACATTTCTGAGTCCTGGTGAGGTTGTAAATATTAATACAATGTATGGAGAAAAATAAATAAATTCTGAACTTGTTAGAAAAGTAGAGGCACTTCGAGTGCTTCGAAAATACATGTTGACACGCCAGTGCTGCTGGAAGTTGTGTATGTGATTAAAATGACAAGCAGTGCATTAAATATTGAGGGGAGAGCAAAGGAAGAGGAGATCATGAGGAATCTGATATGAATATGCGCTTTGTATCAAATGATAATGTTTTGCATTCGGACCGATCTTTGGTCGTATGATGGGAAGCAGAAACTCTAGAGTCAGATTAGGAGGTTAAGCATTTTCTTAAGTAGGCTTGTGAGTGTTTGAGCATCTCTGCAAAAGAACCGAGTGTCAGCGAACGATGGAAAGGCCCGTCAAAATAAAGAGACAGAGCGCGATAAAGAGACAGCAGGGAGAACAGCAGGGCTCCTGTGTCTGTCTGTTAGCTGAAGAGGCAGCTCTCCATCCCACTTCCGGGGTGTCTTGTCCAGACGAGCTGCTTCACCTTTGGATGATACGGCCATGGGAACAAACAGAATCCGCTTGTGCTGCTGGCACGCTACTGCTTCCTGTGCTTTTCCAGGGGACAGGAAGGTACTGCTGCATGCGACTTTTTGAGCGTCTGTGTGCTCGCCAAATCTGTCAAAGGGTGCAGTGTGAGTCACACCCAGCCTCCATTCGTGCTTTGAATCATGACTCAGTTTATGCGGACAGACTAAAGGAGAAGCTTTTCAGATGCAACACTCAGTATGGCTCCCAAAACAGCCTCTTATGGTCTCACTGAAGCAAATCCTCATACTGGCACGCACACGCACACACGCACACACACACACACACACACACACACACACACACACACACACACACACACACACAATGGCACACTTCCATCCCGACCAGGATTAAGTGCTGAGTCAGACAAGTAGTTAAGGTTAACCATGTGTTCTGCACAGAGATAAAGTCCTCATGCAGTCAGCATCTAAAATGAGGCGTTTGAAGGTTAAGCTATTCTGAGTTTTGTGTTCCAAATTATGAGCTCCACGTGTAGCCATCACTGCACCAAAAAGAAAGAAAGAACAAAATATGCAGAGCAGATGTGGCTCTGAGCAGAATTTCGGGCTTGGAGTAAGTACTTTACAGCGCAGTTGCTGTTTATTCATGTTGTAGCAAATTAACAAAGTATGGATGCCAAAACAAATGAGAAAAAACCAAAAAGACATATGTACAGGCTGATTTTACACTCACATTTGAATGTACAAGACAGATGCAACAAGACAACAGATAAAACAGTCTGTGGTTAAAACAAATGATTATAGCTGACTGTCCCAGAGGTCCGACTGTAGCTATCAGGCTCACAAAAGCAGTGGAGTTTCATTGGAAATTGGGGTGACCTTGAAGCAGCAGAGTTGAACAAACCCCTAATCTCTTCTAGTGCTTCTCTACTGAATATGTATATGTGTGTCTGTGTGTATGTGTGTCTCAACACATCTAATGACATCCCTGGTGTCCATTATGAATGGACTGTTGAATAATGTTTTTCATTTTGTCCATTAAACTGCCAATAGCTAAAAAAATATGTTCTTCTGTTGGAAACTGTTTTCATCTCCCACTTATTTGTTTCTCCATTCACAACCAACTTTATCCTCTTTTGTACTTTATGGACACCATGAGCTTGAAGAGGACTCAAACTGATAGACAAAAGAGTCCAGATGAAAAATAAAATAAAAATCTATTCTTCACCAGTTTGTATCTACAGTAATTGCCTATTTCCACAGTCAGATCTTTCCAAGAGACTCAGAAGCTTTACCTGCTTTTCAGCAGATGAAACTACTGTGGAGTCAAAGTTTGCTGTACTGGAAGACAGCTGCTGATCAAACACTGTACAGCTCCATTTATATATATATTTTTTTTTTTTTTTTTTTTTTTTTT